CAACGCAAGCCGCCGTGTGTAGGAGCCGTTAGAAAAACTTCTATTTTGTCCTTTCCACACATATTTATTCATTCTTGGTTTCTTCCAGGTTCCTCAGGAAGATGTTGAAACAGAGGAAGACCATGAAGTTCTAACCAAAGACACTCAAGACTATGCCAGTCCGAAAGCGTTAGATGCTATGCCTGAAAACCATATTCAGGAAGATATGATTCCTGAGTCCAGAGATGTTTCTATGGAGGACGATACCATTAGTGATAGAGCAGAAGACTTGGAAATGCAGTCTAAAGAAGGCCCAAGTCCTGACATCTCTGGTTCTTCAGATTTGGTCTCTGGGACTCCTCAGAAACAAAACAGTCGCCGTCAGTCCTTCATCACTCTGGAGAAGTATGCTGAGGGGAAAGCTGGTAGTCCCAGCAGTACTTTCACAGGTCCCCTAATAAAGACCTCCGATAGCCAAGAACGCTCCAACGCCAGCAAAAAGTCGTCGTCTCAGGTTTCACAGACATCCACTAGTCCTGAGCCCCAAGGTTCCCAGTCCTCTCAGACAGGGAAAGTTAAATCGGCGAGTCCTGTGACTGACGCTTTTGAGTCCCCTGTAAGACCAAAAGACTCTAGAAAAAGAACTGAGCCAGTAAAGCTGACTGTGAGACTGGCCAGCAACCCAACAGAGGACGAAGACGTTATCCCCGACACCCAGACTGAAGGGGAGGACAAAGAAATTACAACAAGTACCTCGGCATCAGAGGAAACAATACCCTCATGCCAGGAAGAGGAATCTGATGCAGCTCTAGATGATTCTCGTTCTTCTCTGTCTGAGACTTCTCAAAGCGAACAAAGACGTTCTGGGCGCCCCAGAGTCAGACCTCTGCTGCCTGGAGAGAGCCCTGGGAAACATGAAGATAAAAACACGCTGCTGAAAAGGCGACGTTCTGGAGAGGAACCTAAAAGTGATTCTTCAAAGTCGAGCAGGCCAAAGACAAGAAGTACACAGGCTGCTGAGGAGGACAATGGCAGATTACGAACGAGGGCTCAGAGGGACAAGAGTGAGTCGAACCTAACCAACTCTAAGAGAAAAGCAAAGCAGAAGATGAAACTGTTCAACAATTCGGAGGACTTCCTTGAAGAACTTGAACCCAAAAGGCGAAGCACCAGAGACTCCAGCCAAACTGATTTGCTGGCTGATAACGAAAGTCAGTCACAGGGTAAGCAAAGGCGGAGGAGCAAAGCATCGATGGAGAAAATGGATTCGGCTGACGTTGTAGAACAGGCCGATGAGGAAAAGCCAAAGAAAGATTCTCAAATAATCACACCTTCCCCTCAAACTAGTGCCATACCCCAAGAGATGGAGATTGAAGAACAGACCAACAATGACATTGATTCTCAGACTGTACAAGATGGTGAAAAGCTAGAAAAAGACTTCGCTTCTCCTCAAATTCAGGGCCAATCCCAAGAGTCCGAGCTTATAGAAAAGCCCAACAATGAAAAGAAAGATTCTCAGATAGTCGCTTCTCCTTCAACTAATGACGAGTCCGGAGATACAACAAGCAAGACAGAGAAGTCGGTGAATGAATCGGAGGTTAAAGACCAACTTAAGACAAGGGAAGCCACAGATGATGACCTTACTCAAGGGGACTCTCAAGTGATCACCCCCTCATCTTCTGAAAGCCAGTCTCGGCGCAGATCCGGAAGAAGCAAGGCATCATCTGAGGCAACGGGGTCTGAAAGTAAAAGTGAGAATAAGGATCCATTAGAAAGGCGGAGCAGGTCTAATTCTCAGGCTTCACTGACAGCTGACGGTCAGCCGGAAGCCAAAAAGAGAGGTAGGCCCAGAAAAGTACAAGAGGATCCCTCAAAGTCGAGTCCTATCCCAACCCCAGAAAGTTCTCAGTCTTTAGATACCGCCAAGTCCTCCCAAGGCCTTGGACGCAAATACCTACGTAGAACTTTTGAAGTGTTACCAGTCGCCAGTACAGAGTCTGAAAGCCAAGAGGCCAAAGAAGATCCCCCAATGCCCAAAAAGAGGGGAAGGAAACCTCGACTGTCTCTTCCAAGTCCTCTCACCGTTGAATCTAAAGAAAGCCAAATTACTAACGACATGGTAAAAGGTGATTCTGATGCTTCTCAAAAGGCAGAATTACAAAGTGTAGAAGCTAAAGCAGACTTGGAGGATTTAGAGAAATCGCAGAATTCTGAATCGCTCCAGATAAACACTAAGGAGCAAGGTGACCCAGAATCACAGATGGAGGTTGATGCTGTTGACAACACAAAGGAGAGCCAATCGCTCACCGCTTCACCTCGCAAGGAGCAAACTCAAGTTACTGAGATGGCCTCTACACAGGAAGGGGACACTGGAGACTTGCCCTCTGCTGATATGCCTGAATCAGCTGGAATCAGTACTGAACAGAATCAAGAAGAGTTTCCATGTGACCCTTCTGTTGAGGACACAGTGGAGCCCTCTGATGAGTTGATAGAAAAACGCCAGGTCTCCGAGTCTTCAGAGGAGAAAGCTGCTGAGCCTAGTGAGGAAGTTGCAGAGAAACAAGAGGATGATTCAGATTCAATGGATCAAGAACCTCCAGGTCCAGCCGAGGAACCGGGTGTCGTTTCAGCCGAGGAACCGGGTGTCGTTTCAGCCGAGGAACCGGGTGTCGTTTCAGCCGAGGAACCGGGTGTCGTTGCAGCCGAGGAACCGGAGTTTGTTGCAGCCCAGGAACCGGAGTTCGTTACAGCCGAGGATCTGGATGTCGTTCCAGCGGAGGAAGAAGCTGAAGACTGTGACACTACTTTCGGTGAACAAGTCTCCACCAAGTGTCAAAATGTAATCGATGAAGAACAGTCCGCCTCCAGCAAAGAAGGCGAATCAACATACCAGCACACAGAGTACACCAGTGCAGAAAGCGCCATTTTAGAGCGTCAGTACGAAGAGGAATCTCGAGCCCTCCACAGTTTGAACGATGTTGTCGCAAATTTGGATGCTGCTCTGGCTCAAGTTTCTCCAGCGAAGCAGAAGGACCTGGAGGCTTTAATGGCGGCAGATCTCGGCCAAAGCCCCAGCAGCAGGACCAGAGGAACCTGGTCTCCTACAGCCTCCCCATCCACAAGTATCCTTAAGAAGGGTCTGAAGAGACCGCTCGAGGATGAGACTCCCTCACCCATTATCAAAGTAAGTGACAACACGCTGGTGAAATTTGAAAATGGAAAATTCAGTCAGTGAAAGTAACTTTTTTTATTTCCCATTTGCAGTCGAGGCGTGTGTCTTTTGCTAATCCGATCCATCATCAGGAAATTGCGGACGACATTGATCGTCGCAGCCCTGCGCTCAGAACCAGCTCCCCGAGAAGAAACAAAGGCAGCTGTATCCCTCAGCCAAAGGTATTAATGACGCGTTTGTTTTACTTCGCCTTTTATTGCTGTACCACATGAACCAAACTTCAATCCAATAACCCTCCTTCTCTTTATTCTAGTATGTCACGACTCCAACAAAGGGCCTGCTGTTCCTGAGTCCCAGAAATCTGCACAGTCCAGGCTACAAGAGCTCCAAGAAATGCCTGGTATGCTGCAAACGAAAACTTTACTTACTTGTAGCTATAATTTGACCTACACCAACTTGTAAGAGAAATATCTGGCTCTAAAAGGTGGATTTTGTGATATCCAAAACACTTTTAACAAATGTAACCCACTAGCTGTCTGTCCTATTATTGACATGCACTGAAATAAAATGTGCTGATTAAACACAGGCGTGGATCTGCTTGGCCTTAAACTAAGTTACTCGAACTAAGCTTCAAGGGTTTTAGCGATTGTCATTTTAATAACATTCCCACCTGCCTCCACTGTAATGTGTTAAGTCGTAATTGACGTCTCGACCTGTAAACAGACTATGATTTGTAAAATTGGTGAACTCCCCCTTTTTTAAATGAGCTGGATAATAATGTTCTGTGATGCATCATCTCAGCTGTTGGTTTACAGTTAGAAACGGTTGTCCTGATGGTAGATGCAAACTTGTTTGTTCCTCTAGATTTCCGAAATGAGCAAGGATCGTCCCGTCTCCAAAGACTGCATCTACCCTGCTCTGGTCGGCTGCTCGGCGCCAGTAGAAGCTGTGCTGCCGCAGATCTCCTCCAGCATGTGGTGAGTAAATATTTAACCTTTCTTAAATATATTGTTTTATCAGGTGCATCTGTTTGTAACTGCTGCCGTTTCTCCTCATAGGTCTCGGGGTTTCGGGCAGCTGGTTCGAGCCAGAAACATAAAAACTGTCGGCGACCTGAGCGCGCTCACTCCCGCGGAAATCAAGACTCTACCAATTCGCTCCCCGAAGATCTCCAACGTCAAAAAGGCGCTAAAGAACTACGAACAACAAGTAAGCCAGGGGACTCCAAAGTTGCAGAAGCATTGATGTCACGCTGCATAAATACAAACAATACCATTTTACAAAACAAACACATAAAGGTGTGATTCTTGTATTTGACCTTTTGGATTATTCTCTTCCAGCGTAAAGGACGAGGCTTTGATGAGTTGAAGAGTTTGGATGACTTGGAGATGATGACCTCTGAACTGGAGGAGACCAGTGCTCCTCAGAACCAGGATGAAGACGACAAGACCTCAGAGACGCTAGGTGTGTAAAAACTCTTTATCAAGTCGGTTTGTATTCATTTACTTCCGAGTAAATCGCCAGAACGCCGACACCTCCTCATCTCCACCTTTTCTTTTGTGTTGCCATAAGTTATTCTCTCTCCGTTGGTGCGCTGGGCTAATGCTAATAATGCTAATGCCAGCAAATAAAATGGCGGCTTCACAAAACCTTTCAGAGTTTTACGTGGCGTGGTTTGGAATCCGCCCAGCCAATCTAGTTCCGGATTTTTTTGGTGTGAACGCAACATTTCAAGAACTATCGGAACTATACTGGGAAAAGTACTCCGGTGTGAAAGCGCCTATTGAGTATTTATCAGAAGGTCAAACTAATGTTTAACTTTATAAACGTCCTCTTATTTTTGCAGCTACAGCGCTGATAGACGAGCCGATTCCTGCTGACGGTCCCATGGAGGAAGACTGCCCCAAAAACCTGACTCCTGACACACCTGCCGGAGAACACACACCTGCAGGACGGCTGCAGGCGGAGGTGGAGGCTCTGAGCTGCAGCATGACACCACAGGAACTTAATAACTGCTCCTCTCAGCAGCTAGTCCAGATCCACGATCAGTTATCGGGCATGATGAGGAGCGTCGTGGTCGAGCTGCAGACGCGAATCTGCGAAAAAGAAGACAAACGCTGACAGCAGATGTTGAAAAACACATAAAGACAGATCTATTTAAGCTTCAACAAGACTTAAATTGACAGATTTAACAAAGAAATATTTGATGCTTTTAACTCTGAATTCCTGGTCTCATCACATTGAATTTTCCATACTTAAAGTGTTTTTTTTAATAAATGCTAGCAGCACTTTTTTAGTATTTGTAGATTGGGCTGTTGGATAGTTTATAAAATGTTAGGAAGCACTCAAAGGGAAGCACAGTCACACTTTTTAAGCCACATTATTAATACTAGTGTCCACATGAATGGCTTCTTGCTCCTCTTAACTAATGTTTAAGTTGTGTACATATGCTACCCTCATTTACATTCATGGGCCTGTTTTTTAGGCTGTTTACAATTCAACCTATCGGTGCTCTTGTATATTTTGTAAAATGTTCTGTAATTTCAGTTGAATGTCTTTTTGCAGTTTTAAAGTCTTGAAGCAAGCTTTAGATGGTAGTAGACACTTCTGTCTTTTTTATTGAAGCATTTAAAACTCCAAATAAAAAAACTTATAATTTTAAGTTCAATAACATTAAGCTTTTTGTTTGATTTGAGAGAATGTTTATCAAAAGATCAGCAGACATACGGAGGGATATATAAGAAAGAAATTGAAGGTGACCCCAGCAGAGATGGGGTCATTACTAAAATGTAATATTACATATTACTTTAAAAAAAGTAATATATTACACTACTTCGTTACTCTCTACATAAAGTAACTCGTTACTTTACTCGCCGAGCACGTACGAACTGCGCATGCGTGATTGGCAATAACTGTCCTTACCAGCAGGCGGCGGTAGTGTGTATTCGTCATTCAAAACAGGCAACAACCGGAAGACAAGAAGAACAACAGTAGCTTCACTTTGCAGGTGTTTGTTGAGGTTTGACCGGTTTGACGTGGTGTTTACAGCAGTGGATAACAGCTTCTGGCCTGGACATATGTCCATATTTCCTGTTCGTCACATTCCTGTCTATTATTCGGACGAACTCAATAATGGGCATACCTCCACCCCTCGAAAGTTATCGCTGACTCAGCCATGTTTATGCAGCACTGCACGTGGAGATGTGGACGCGCAAGTCGCGCAGATTAGTACATATAAACCTGCGGCGGAAACCCCTCTTGTCTGTCAGTGTGGTTATGACTGATTTTTAGTAAGTAACGAAGTAACGCGTGTCGGGGCAATGTTAGTAACTGTAGTGTGATTACTGAATTATAAAAGTAGCGCGTTACACTACTCCGTTACCGACAAAAGTAATATTATTACACCCAACTCTGGACCCCAGACATTTTCAACATTGATTTACCAATACATTAAACTTTAAATGGGCCCTATTATGCGAACTTTCAGGTTTCATATTTATATTTTGTGCATCTACTGAGACATGTTTACATGCTTCTGGAGGGCTTGGGGATTTTAGCCTTTGCAGACCATTTACATGCAAAAAAACCTATTTAGCACAGGAAAGGAAAGGGAAAACCCCCAAAAGCATGTTAATAGGGCCTCTTTAAGAGTAAGGTTGCATTGACAGGTGTTTTGTTGAAGTGATATGATGTAGAAGTGCAAAAGAAGCATAACGAGATTCCATTCTTAGTGATTTAAATACAACTGATAGCCGACAAAATATTAGTTTTTTGTAAGTATAGTCTAATATTTAAACATGTTAGGCTTTATAGTCAAATTTAAGTCGGTATCTTCCAAGGATAGTTATATCATAACCTCTTTTTTGTCTATTTGAGGGATATACCTCATACAAAGACTCATTTTGGAACATTTCCTCTTGATTATACAAGAAATCTGAATTACAGTAAAAAAACATAGCATTTTGAAACTTGCTTTCTAATTGGCTTAAAGGTGGGGTAGGTAATTCCCTTCAGAAACAATTTTTTTTATATTCCATGGAATGCTCTTAACATCCCGATAGCAATGAATACATGAAATGCTTTGACAATAAATAAATTAAAAGATGTCATCTGTGGAAGCCGTAGCGCTGTAAAAAGCACGACCAATCATCTGAGCCGGCCCGGCCGAAATAACTGGATGGCCTACCTGCCTGTCAGCCTTCCATCTGTGCAAACACTTATCTCGTGCCCTCATTGGTCATGTGCGCGTTCGTGTGTGTTGGACGAGGGGCTCTGTAAGGAAGCGGCAGATTTCTTTCGGCTGCGTACTTTCAAATTCTAGCCCACTCGAGCTGGTTTCTCCATTCTTACCTACCCTACCTTTAACAGGACCACAAATATGCAGCCGATGGCACACAGTGTTACTTTAAAGGTTGGCTTTATAGTGAGGGAAAACTGAAATGCACCTTTGAGGTGGTGTTAGTCTGCAGGACATTATCTGAGAGGTAGGAATACAATTTAGAGGTATTTATACTTTACTTGAGTATTTCAATGTTTTGCTACTTTGTACTTCTACTCCACTGCAGTTCAGAGGTAAATAAGAGTACTTATACTACATGTATGTAATACCTTTAGTTACTTTACTAGTGGATTAATGATGTGAAATCTAATCAAGTGTTGAATCAGACTTTAGTTCCACCTGGAGTAAATCCACAAGCTACCCTGCAGTATACAAAGTCATTCAAACTAGCAGCACCTTTACCAGCTTTGAGAACACTTTCATGATCAATCATTATAAAACATACATATCATATATATTATTCTGAAATGGACCAATCTGCACAATACTACTTTACTGTTGATACTTTAAATATATTTTGCTGCCAATACTATTCTACTTTTACTTGAGTAACATTTTGAAAGCAGGACTTGTACTGGTAACAGCGTATTCCTACACTCTGGTACTAATACTTTTACTCAAATACAAGATCTGAGTACTGTGACATTAAATGTTACTTGTTTGACGCTTTAATCCAAAGCGATTTACATACATTCAATACTGTGGGCAATCCCCACAGGAGCAATTTGGGGTGAAGTGTCTTGCCCAGGGACACAACGACATGCTGACTGCAGTGTGACTCAAACTTGCTACCCCCGGATTCGATGTTCAGCGCACTAGTCACTGAGCCACAGCCTCCCTACTTCTTCCACCTCTGAGGTTTGGTATATCACTCTCTATGAATGGCTTACATACAGCAGGTGCCTCTAACATAATGTTGAAGGAAGTGTGTTCACACTGTGGTTGGCATTACACACACTTCCCTTAAACATGCAATGCTTAACGGTGTGTTGCTCAAAGCTATCTGAATCTGATCTATTCATGCTTTGGGTGGCAAGAGTAACTATTACAAAATTAGAAATTGAAAATTAAACACTTGATTAGCAAAATTGAGCAGATTATATTGACTCACCTAAGAGAAAGCGACACAGGTTAGGGAACAGAGACAGGAAGGAGTGAATCGTTTACACAGCAGCGCTCAGAGGAAACCTCAACCGTGCCCCTCGTGCTCAGACGGCTCTGACTCAACTCTGTCCCACCTCCAGATCACTCACAATGTTTTCATTGCTTCGGTCAAATATCTGCATACCTTCTTTTGCTTTTTGCAACACAACCTTCCCCTTCCTCTGACTACAATAACTTACCTCTAAATAAAACAGCCTTACCGAGCGGAAACCTTTATAACAACTTCTACTTAACTTTACAACCATGGTAGATCACCACACATCTAACAACAAAGTATAACACCTCTGTTGTGCAATATCACCTATCCGCCATATACTGTATATATATATCACTTTATATTTATTATTTGTACTGGCTGCTATCTCGTAGTTAGATGATTCAACTACTGAAATAATACCTGTCCAATATATACTTCCACTTTTACTTCTGTTACCTGGCTGCCATCACACTACTTCATACTAACGCATATTTAAAAATAAATGTTGTTACTGGTACTTTTTTTTGTGTGTTTTTGTAAATTGTAATTTGTGCAATTTCTTTTTTTATCTTTAATATGTTATGCATGCCTCTTAGTTTCTATTTTCTATTTTTGGCTCTTCACTTTTGCTGTAACAATGTACATTTCCCCTCTGTGGGACGAATAGAGTTATTCTGATTCTGATACTTTGAAGTAATAATTCAACAATGTAAGAAATTAGAAGATTTTCCTTTCTGCCGTGATATGCTATCCCAACCTTTGCAAGGAAAAAGTGTTGTGATGTTCCAAGCAACAAAGATTTCAACAAAATCCATTAAGTTATGTACAAAAAGGGGCTTATATTTTGAAAAATGACGATTAAATCTTCTTAAAAATCAATAAATGAGAACATTACCTAGTTTTCCGACACTTGATAAAAATAACCGTTATTTCAAGAATTGAAGAAACCAAAAGGCTGAAAGAGAGGATAATAATAATAATACATTTATTTTGTAAGCCCTTTTAAAGGTGTAGTAACAACTAAAAAAGAACAACAATTAAATAAAGTTAAAATCACATTAAAATCGAACAATTAAACAACAATCACACATTAAAAGCCAATTTGAAAGATGATCGACAGCGGAAAAGTTTTAACCATTTAAAATGTTATTCAGACCGATGGACAGTTCTTGAAAAACCACTTGACAGTGAAGTGCGGTGTGCAGAGGCGTACAGCCACACCTGGGCTTCCCCCTGAGCCATCCCCAGAACACAGGCTGTGAGTCACACCCCGCATCTCAAATCCCTGAGTAGATGTCACTGTTTCACCGCAGAAAAAACACGAGGTTAGGACGCACTTCCTAACGTCACTCACATGAAGTGCTTTGTTCTCATTTCGGTCTCGTAAAGCTTACGTTTTTTCAACCGTTGGAACTTCTTTGTGGTAAAGACTTCGGGCCACATGTGCTTATACTAAAAACAGAAGACGTTGAAAGTTTTTCCACTAAGTGGTTTTTCCCAGCACTTATTGAGTGCTTTATTTAGCGTGTCTGAGAAGTGCTTAATACCCTTATTTGAACACAGCAGTAGAAGTTGAAATATTTTTAATAAAATGGTTAAAGACTTTTATGAGTCAGGAAATTGTTGAAAATATCTCCATGGAGAAAAGCCATGACCGTGACAACAGAAAAAAAAGTGTTGAAAAGCTGAACGTAGGTGGCGAAAAAAAAATCTCCAGGTTCAATTTGAAATCTAAAAAGAGAGACTTGGCTTTTATAATTTGGAATTGAAAAACGCACGACAGAAAATATACGCTATAATCAAGTATTTATTGCAATAAAAATGACGTCAAAAAACCTTTCCTCTTAGGCAGCAAAAAGGAAAGATTGTGGAGAATACTAATACTAATGGAAGTGAATTGCTTAAACGATATGAAATGTTGGTGCATGATAGACAAGTTTAGCTAATCAAATCACAACAGAAAGCATCGCTTGGTAAAAACCAGCACCATCTATGCAAAGGCTTCACTTTACAATCATTAATAAACTTCAAATGTACTCATATATTTGCTTCTGATCCCAAATAGTACCACAAGAAGGTGTATTTTGGAGCACATTGATATTGTCATTGCTTTCAATATATGTAAGTTTGAACTGTGTGGGCATTTCCAGTAATAGCGTAGACTAGAAGGAATGTATACCCGGAAAAATTCCCTTTCCAGATCAATCATGAATTGTGATGCCAAAAATATAAGTAGTTATTAGAATAAGTAGATTAACCAATAACAAGCTGTGAAAAGATGGCAAATGCCTGCTTTGAATAGAGATAAGAAGTGTATTGTATCCGGGGAGATCTTTTTAGATGTGTTTATTAATCTGCCAATAACGTTTTCAGTACTCAATAATACTATAAAGTGTTAGCAATACATAAGAAAGTACGAATGTTCTGCTTTTCCTGGTCTTAAATTACAGTTAATTCAGTAATTGTACGTTTTTGACGTCTGCTCGGAAATAACAAGACATTTAATGACATCTCCTGAAGAGAGAGTTGCATTATGGGTTGTTTAAGCAAAGACTGCTGTCATCGATGAAGAGGAGCTCAAAAGGGAATTCTGAAAAGCTCATTGTCTATCAGGGACAAGCTACACAAATGTAAAAAATTCAAAGTCAACTTTAATGTACATTTTTCTATGTGTTTGTAAAGACAGAGAGATCGAAATAACTTTTCCAACAATCCCGAATACTGCAATCCCATGTGCCATTTAAGGGATGCTTTAAATGTATTACTTTCACAAATGCTAATCAGCGTTGTTTATTATACTCTAGATATATTCTGTGAGCAATTACTTTAGATTAGATGTGCCTAACCCTGCTCCAAAACCTGGGTTAAAGGGGGACATGTGCTCATTTAGAGGTTTGTTCTTGTATTTAAAGGCTTCTACTTGAAAATGTAAGAAACAACAACGTTATTTTTGTATTTACCCTCTGACTCAACAGTTGGTAAATCTCCGAAAAACACAATATTGTGTCAAATAGCAGGAGAGACGTACTGTATAAAGCATATCAATTGGAAAAAAGTGGCTTTGCAAATGTTTAATGGAGAAGAACATCTATTGAACATGTTTTAGGATTTGGCGAGAGCTCTGCAATAAGGTGGACTTTTCTACAGATGACTTGGAGCAAATTGTGCAATTGTGGGAAAAAGGTGAGCAAAGTGTCCTAAAGCAGTTCTGGTTCTTGTTTGTCCAAACAAAGTCCAGCGTTGTTGACATTCACTGAAGTATTGATCTCTAGATGTGAAGTAGGCAGTCCTGTAGCTACGTCACGGACAGAAATGCTGATGTCAGGGATTTTTTATCCTACAGTGTACAATAATCCACCCTCTGTGTTAATGTAGTTTTAAAGAGAGAACTCACCCGCCTGCTGTTGTTGAAGTCCTTCCTTAAAGGGTCACATGAAATCCTGTCAAAACATCTTTAAAAAGAGAAGACAAATCTTAGCTCAGATGTGTCCTCTCCAGCTTCGACTTCCTTTTTTTCTGGAGCCCTCAGCACATGTTGCAATTTCCTTTAAGGATCTTTTGAAAGCCAGCGTGTGTCCAAATGTCTTGAGCAATAACTGGGAGGAGAGCAGTCTGGATCCTGCATATGATTCACAACACACGCAGAGGTTTGACACAGAACAAGTTAGAAGTAATTCATTAAACAAAAACACATGTCTCTGCGTGCTACACTGTTCTTTCCTATGAATCCCATCCAGCATTTATTAATCCCATCTTTATGAGTTCAGCTTTTGCCAATACAGAAGCTTATGTTTTTTTGTTGTGTCATAGGAAGCGGCTTTATTTTAACACAGTCATTTTGAGACCTCTTGTGGCGGAACAGGGAAGCAACTTGAGATACATACCTGAAAATGAAATGATCAACCTATGCTTAACCAAAATAATATATCTAAGATTAGTAAAGTCAATACCAATGATCGATATCGCCTTTTAACAATTTCATGTAAATGGCGTATACTTATATATCACTTTATCAGGTCTTTTCGACCCCATTCATGTATAGCAGCACCACTTGCTCTAGGGAAGCTCACACACACACACACACACACACACACACACACACACACACACACACACACACACACACACACACACACACACACACACACACACACACACAGCCATCGGAAGCAACTCAGGGTTCAGTATCTTGCCCAAGGACACATCCACATGTTGACTGCACGGGCTGGGATCGAACCAACAATCTTCTGGTTTGAAAGATGAGCCACTGTCACCCCTGTAAATGATTCCTGCTTTATGTTTAAATGTATGTACGGTAAACTTTAAAAACTCTTATTGTGCACACTTCAAATGAGTAAACAGACGGATAATTGTATCAGAATTAATCTGTATATTATCCACATATATAAAAAGAGGTTTTCAAAAATGTGCAAATTAGTTCTCTCCATACAGTAAACACATGCTAAATTGTGCAGGTTTTCAAGTTGACGGAGAGCGTAAACCATTCTCTAATGCCTCTAAATTAAATATCAGATTGTGCAAAAGCCTTATTTAAGAACACTACAATGTCATCTTTAAATCATACTGTACATTTAAATAAGTAAGCTGCAAAAAGAGGATTCCACCCTTTACGAAGGTTATTTTATACGTGTGCCAACATGGTATTTATTTGATCAAACCTACATGAAAACACAGAGTGCTTTAAACACAATTACTGTATGAGGAAACAACTTTAAAGGATGATTAAACATGTAAATCATTCAATAGAGAACAACATCCGTTATTTAAGTAGCTTTTATACTTTAATAGTTTAAAATCGTAGCACCTTTTTGATATTTCCATTTTAATATTCATTATACATTTCCAATTCCAACAAATACTGGCTCACAACAAACAGAACAGTCAATCAACCCCATTACACAGTAAATAATGCATTATTTATTCAAAATAATTATAACATTATACTGTATATGCTTAACACTGAGTACTTCTTTTACAGCATAGTCAGATTTGGTATTTAATAGACATTTACAAATGTGAATACCTGAGAATACGTATTTCAAAATATACACACAATCATGTTTAAATAGTTACAGTCTCTGTATTTTTAAGGAGTGTCTGAATGACAAAAAAAAAGTTTAAATTCACATTGAATTGGTCGTGTTGAATACAGCAGAGTAGAAGCTTCTACCAAGTATTAAAGAGGTCATATTACGCTAATGTTCAGGTTCATATTTGTATTGTGTGTCTCTACTCTGACGTGTCTCCAAGCTTTAATGTTCAAAAAGCTCTTTATTGTTCTCATACTTCCTGGGCTGCAGCACCTCTTTTCACCCTCTGTCTGAAACCAGAGCCCAGTCTGCTCTGATTGGTTAGCTGGCCGGCTCTGTTGTGATTGGTCAACTGCTTAGAGATGTCCCGCCCCTTAGCCTATCACGTACAATGTGTTGGAGTCTGTTCAGTAGCAGACAAATGAGTCTGAGGCGTAAAATGCATAATAAGGCCTCTTTAACACTATATTAGAAGTTCTGCTGTGATTTTGAGTAGCATCAGTTTTATGGTTATGTATATATGTATATGTTATGTATAAAATGAAGTGCAGCCACTGGTTTAAAATATAATGTCCCTGCAGAAGGAGTGTAGATCACCAACAGGTGTCACTGCACGACATCACATGCACACAATGCATGCGATGTAATGTAACAGCGAACTCATCAAAGAGGGTCTTTTTGAGATTGTGGAGGTAGCGCGTGCTAAAAGGTGCTGTTCTGCCGAGCCAGGAAGTAATCCATCTTCTTTGTCCTTTTAGGTTTGAAGAGGACGTAAAGGAAGATGGAAACCACGGTCAGGAAGCAGGACGCGGCTACCACGGCGACGACCAGCCAGGTGAACGAGGAGTCTGCGGAGAGAGAGGTACATTAATGTTTCCACACAGATGAGGATCGTTTCTGTGTTATAACTTAGTTTGGCCATTCGTTATATGCTCATAACTCATTCATACATTTAGTTTATTAGTTTAATTTATTCGTTTATAGTGTCGTGGACAGTCCCCATTGATCAACTGTCACAACAAACTGTAAATAGGGCAGCTTTAGAAAAACATTGCTAATTTCCAGCTGTTGTTCCCGGCCAGATGATATAGACACCTTTTTTAAATCACAATCAACAGCATTAGTTATAAAGAAAGGATGAAAGACAAGAATCAAATGCAAACAACACACGTTAATATATATAAATGTATTTTTGTTTGATTTTGAGCTCATTAAATAAGTAAAGTTAGTGTGATCAGGGGCTGTTCAATATGTTTTTGTAATGAAGATGTATTTGTTTCCCTGGCACAAAAAGGGGGAATAAATAACGATTAAAACCATCAGCATCGGCCAAATTGTTCTTATAAATATCCGTATCGGCTCAGAAATGTGCATTTGGTGCATCCTTAGTTCTCATTTAAAACAACACTAATGGACAAAGGACAACATATATAAGATACTGCTTAGTATTTTCTCAATTTCAATACGTTTATCTTTGTAAGACTCCCTCTTTTACACACTCTATATACACACACACACAGGGTGTTTCTCAATGTCGAGGACGCTTCCTTGGTAGGGTCCTTCAGAAGCGAGGCAAGAATCCTTCCTAGCCTCGGAAAACAAAGAATGGTTGAACAGGTGTGCGTCATATGCGAGGCCCCGCCTTAAATGGAGCGTGATTTCCGCCAAAGATTTGGAAATTGGTCCGTGTGCAAAGCATTGTGGGGATTTTAAGACCGCGGAGGATACACATGTGAAGCCTCGAAATTTCCCGCAACGAAGGACGCCGGCCTCGGTAGAATTCCAAGTATGCAGGACATTGGAACAGTCCTTCGGCGGGACTTGATAACGTAGCATCCTTGAAATAGTGGCTCACACACAGACACACGCACGCACGCACGCACACACACACACACACAACTCACCCTCTAGTTGAAGCAGTGTGACCACTTCCTGTCTCCCTCCTTCGTTCTGAGCGACACATTTCAGCTCCGTGTTCACGTCTTCGTCCGTCACCGCTACGACAAGAAGCCTCAACTCAACCTGGCACACTTCAGACTCCCTGGTTACCCTGAGAGCATTGAGACAGACATACTTATTTTAAACATATATATACTGTGTATATGAGGTGGGTTACATGGGAAAACAATTATTAGCTTTTATCAGATCTACCTAGGCAAGATGTTCATACAACAACAATCCAGTATGAGTAGCTTTGAACAAGCATCACTCCTTTATAGTGTTTCGAGTATTTTTGTTTAGTAATATCTGAATTTGAATAATAAGCCCACTTCAACATTTTTGGTATGCATCCTAAAAAAAATTGTTTTCAAAGTGTTACACCTTTTTTTTTGCTTAGTACACACCTGTTCGACCTCATGTTTCAAATTGACTGAAAGTGTCTTCTAAAATTAAGCATAAATTACCTCCTTCCGCCCTGCAGAGCCCGTCCATCAAGGTACGAGGACTCCACTGATTGGCCGTTGACGAGCCATGTGACCACAGTGGACTCTGCTGTTTGACAGCCAGTGAGCACCTTACAGAACAGCTCCAGTCCTGAACCTACAGAAAGACAGATTACAACAATATTAGACCTTTGACGATCTTTTAATTAAAGCATTTAGCAAATATATGTATTATTACAACTAATTATATTTGTGACACTTACCGTGCAGACTTTCAAAAACAGTTCCATTCTTCGGCGAGACGATCACAGGCGGTCGAATCGCTGGAGCTGATTTGTAAGGGATCACATTAAATTATCAGATAGAGATAGATAGGTAGGTGGATGGATGGATGGATAGGTTGGTAGGTAGGTAGGTAGGTAGGTAGGTAGGTAGGTAGGTAGGTAGGTAGGTAGGTAGGTAGATAGATGGATAGATATGTTTGCGTTGCAGCAGCATAAAAAACAAGGCAATGTACATAAGAGAAATAAAGACACTAGAAATAAAAGAATCCAAAAATATTTCTGAAATATAAATAAAATAGCATTAAAAAGTTTAAAAATATACATGTGGAAATACAAATTTCCAGTAACAAAATATAATGCAGGTTATTACATATACATTAATTGTGCAATAAATGGATTATTCAATATTAAATTGAATATAAATGTAAAAGGTACAGTGGGAGTTTAAGTTTTTCTATTGTCCACTCAGGGTGATTTGTATTGCACAAAGTAAAACATTAACTTACTGTGAACAGTGCTGCTGCTGAGTATCTGTGGGTGAGAGGTGGAGGAGAGGTGGAGCAAAGTGGGGGAGGGGGTGCTGGGAGTTTCAGGATCTACACCTTTATACAAACAAACACATTAAGACACAGTGTGAACTTATGGAAACAAACAACTCTTGGAAATGACAGAACATTTACTTATATCACACAATAATAATAATTCATACCATGTAACTGTGTGCTTGTGCAATTTCTTCACATCAAAAGTAATATTGAGTTAGGCCAGTAGAGGGCAGGGTGTGCTAATAAATACTTTGATTATTTTTTACATTTCTATTTGTACTCACTCAATGTATAAACTTAAAACCCCCCAATATATTGTTTTGCTTTTTAATGAAATACATTTAAGTCCACAATTGTTTACTTGTATATTTATGGGAGCAGACATCAAACATGACAGGGGAGATAGAAACATTAATTAATTCACATATTGTAATAAAGATACCTATAATATGTGCAATAAAACAGAATGAAGCAGACATGTTTACTTTAATAAGCCAAACCATTGTAAGCGCTGGTGCATTAGTTTCAAATAAGCTAATTCATTAAGTGCATTAAAAAAAACACAAAAAATGTAAGTATTATTCTATATATTGGCTATGCTTTGTAAAGATTTCATAAATAGTTTTCAAAACCAAACATAGAAATGTTTCTGATGACAGCTCTGATTTACCCTGGTCAGTTCCGATGGTAAATAAGCTAAATTCATTAAGAGCTATTTAAAAAAAAGTATTATTCAGTGGAATGGGGCGAAGCCTGCGAGCTAGTTCAGGCAGTCAACTCGAGCACCAATGATACATTAACACGTGACGCGTCTCTCTTACAACCAACCAAACACATTCTCCTAAACATGGAGCTCTACTGAAGCTGCCAGGTCTTCCTGCCTCTGCCTCGCTGCTGCTGCTGCTGCTGTGTTCATGTTCCTGCGGCTGTGTTTCATGTTGCTGGTGCTCGCTTGCCCCACCACCACCCCAGCTTCCGCCCCAGCTTCCGCCCCAGCTTCCGCCCCAGCTT